GTGCATGTGTGTGTATTGGGTGCTAACAGAGATTAAAAAAAAAAAAAAAAAAAACAAGATTTTGTAAAAATATTCGACAATTATTTGATTGCTGCAAGAATTTCACCGCAAAAAAGCCGCTCAAATATCTACTAATCTTTGGTTCCCCCACCCACTCCACACACGCAAGAAAATCAAGATTTTTAGCCAAAATTTCGAATGTTCTAAATGGATCAAAATATATCATTTTATGATAAAAAATACATTAGTCTTTCCTCATAATAATAACATAAAAATTTTTTGGCGATAAAACTTTGTTTTTATAAAGTTTGGGGAATTTTTCATCATGGTATGACAATTTTTTAGCGAATCAGTTGAGGTAGCTAAATATAACTAATTGAATTCTGTCTTAGTTTCCATAACTGACTTGGTTGAGTTTCTGTTCTCAGCTATTTTCTAATTTATGTGTTCAAATCTAGCGAGAAGCTTCATTTTGCACCTAGGGTGGAAAACATTTGACGAAAAAACGATATGATAAAAAGAACCAGTAAGTCGAAAGGATACAGGCACGGAAAGAAACTACAAAAAGAAATCTATAGAAGATAGTAAAGGAAAGCGAGAAGAAAGGACTAAGCACAAATTGCAAGAAGATAGAATACAAAAAGGATGAGCCCAAAATGCAAATTACAAATCAAATCAAAATCAACCAAACCCAAACATTTAAATATCTAGGAAATGTTCTAACAGAGGACGGAAAATGCGGCACTGAAATCCGAAGGCACATTGGGATAGCCTTCCAAAAAGTTATGCAGAGTATTAAAAGTTAGAAAAACTGCGTTAGAATCAAAGAAAAATGTATTGAACTGTTATGTGATATCTGTCTTATTGTATGGCAGTGAATGCTGGACAATTTTCTTAAAGATGAAGAAGAGATTTGAAGCAACAGAAATGGGGTTCTACAGAAAGATGCTGAGAATACCGTGGACTGAAGACGTGAGCAAGGACGAGGTTTTAGGGAAAACATAAAAAAAAAGGAAACTTATAATTAACATCAGGAAGAAACAGTTGAAATTACTGGGTCACTTAATGAGGAAAGTGTGCTTGGAAAATCCGTTACTCACAGGGCGATTTGAGGGCAAGAGGGACAGAGGTTTTATACCCAGCTTTCACAAAAAACATAGATTGTTAGTAGAGAGAGATTGGAATTAGAGACAAATTGTTATTCGAGACAGATTGATATTAGAAACAGAGTGGATAATAGAGACAGATTGCTATTAGAGATACATTGCTATTAGAGACAGATTGATATTAGAGACAGATTGATATTAGAGAGAGATTGCTATTAGAGACAAATTGTTATTAGAGAGAGGGGATTTAGAGACAGATTGGTATTAGTGACGAATATTACTGACCAAAGTCAAATTCGGCACAAGATGGCGTTATTTTGTTTTGTTTATTTTTAAGTGGGTAAGGTATTCAACAATCAAAAAGTGGTAAGGATGAGTGTAGTACGTATACGACAAAAAAAAATAACATATTTGCCTAACTTGAGAAAATGAATGGCGCAGCAGGGTTTGGAAGTAACGAAAAGGATTTATTTAGAGCGGCAAGGGACAGGAAATTGTGAAGAGCCACGATCGCCTACGTCCTGAGGGGACAGAGCATAAAGAAAGAGTTTGACAAACATGCACGCACTTCTATTTCCATCTTAAATGTAGAATCAGCCAAGTTCATAGCGATTTTTTTGTCTGCTTTGAAATCGCGTTTTTCAAGCCTTTGTACCTCGCTCCTTAAATGTCAGACGTCATGATAGATGAACAGTCACGTGAGTCGATTAGGGAAGCCAGTGTATCGTTGTTGTTCACTGACCTCTAAAGCAAAAAAGTTACCCGCCAGAACAAAAAAAATAAAAATAAATAGATAAAACGAAAAAAACAAAAAAGAAAAACAAAAAGGAAAAAAAAATAACGAAATAATCCACCGTCATGTAGCAGCCACCCAGTAGCCCTAAAGCCGGGGTGGGTGGTACAGTAGACCAATCAACTTGTAGGCTACCCGATGATCAGTCTGGACTTGTTCACTCGGACTTTACTTGGCCTGTAAATTACATCTTGCTCAACAGGTGGGTGGTTTACATGGACCGGGGCGGCATGCACCTGAAGAGTGAGATAGCAAGAACGGCAGTATAGGGGAAAAGAGTGGGAGAAGAAAAAGAGGAGGAAGAAGAATATAAGTAAAAGGAGTGTGGAGTAAGAGGGAGTAGGGAGCGAAAATAGGATCGAGGTGAAAAGGTAGCCATAAAAAAGATAAGTTTAAACGTGTCGGTATATATATTGGGTTGGTGTATAATTATCAGGCGTTTTTGTAGGCGGTTCATTTGTTAATAAAAGTCGCTGTTTTGTTTACTTTTTAAATAAAAATATTTTATTTGCAGGTTATAAAAATGCGTGTGAATCGTCATACATTCTGGAATAATCATTTAAAAATGTTATTGTTGAATTGTTATGTTTCTTTTTCATAACAAATATTGTTTAAAAAAACGCCTGATAATTATGCACCAACCCAAAATATGTATATATATATATATATATATATATATATATATATATATATATATTTATTTATTTAAAATATGATTCCAACACGCTATTTCTATATATTTTCTCTCTCTCTCTCTCTCACACACACACACACACACACACACACATATATATATATATATATATATACGTTCCCAAGAGGATAGAATCCAGGTAGAACTCAATGTCCAGGACAGAGTAAGAATATAATATAAAAACTCAACACTAATATTCCAGGGTTATAATTTATTACATTGGAATCTTATTCACGATTCAAATCATCAGACCTACAAATTCTAAACTTTTTGAATTTGTAGGTCTGATGATTTGATCGTGATTAAGATTCCAATGTAATAAATTATAAACCATAGAATATTAGTGTTTGAGCCTTTATATTATATTATATTATATATATATATGTGTGTGTGTGTTTTTTGTGTGGGTGTGTGTGGTGTGTGTGTAAAGCCTGAATATGTAGATACTTTTATTGGATATATATTCATCCGTGATATTAATCAAATTTCATACTGATATCAAATTCTATTTGTAGTAGATATCCAGGACTTTCTTAGATACGTAACCCACCCATACTTACCATTGATTTTTGAGTCCGACTATATCCAAGATTTTGAATTTAACCCTTACCCTCTTACAAAGATAGAAATAGCACCATCTTGTGCTGAACTTTGACTTTGGTTAGTAATATTAGTCTCTGATAACAATCTGTGGTATTTTTGAAAACCGGGTAGAAAAGAGGTTGGACAATGGGCATAAAGCTAGAAATTCAATTCCGTAAAACCTCACTTGCTATGGAAACCTTAGAAGCGATGCCTTGTGTTGTGGAGAATTGTGGACGCCATAGTCTTCAGTGGAATCTCCAGGACTAAAATAGAAGTGTGTTTGTGAAGAAAAAAACTTTTAAAATCTATAGATTGGTACAAATGAACAAATAGGACAGAGTGAAATTATAGCGGACATATTATTAAAATATATTCCTTTAATTAATCAGTTTCAGACAAAATAAAAAAAAAACTCTTTTTATCGAAAATAATTAAGATATATCTCTGCTGAGTGGATACGAACTTAAAATTAAATTAACTTATAATAGAGAAATATAAAAATTACGCAGCATTTAAAACTTCTTTCAAATTATTACTCTGCAAAATTTCAGGTTTTAAGCATGTATAGTTATTAGAAATGTTATAGTCTTCAAGTAAAACACTTTAAAATGGAACTGAGTATTTATTTGTTAAATATTCTCACTCATTTTGTGTCTACGACAACATCCGCATGCAAGGACAACTTATGAAGTAATAAGTGATACTTTAAGTCGCAGTCGAATGCAACAGTCCGAGTTGAAGTAGTAAGAGGAGTCATTAAAAATCTTCCCGTGACTTGTTTATTTCCTTCACTAAAAAAAATAAAATAAAATAAAAAAAAAAAGCAATTTTTCTAAAACACTTCAGCAATTTCTGAATATATAAAAATTTGGGATTTAAGTTTCATCTGTTTCTTCCCTCCCCTTTTTCTTCGTGTATGAGTTGAATATTTTACAAAGCCAAATTTTCACCCTTCTACAAATCAATAAACTTTGATATTAAGATTCAGTGTCTTTACAAGAATTTTAATATTTGGGAAAAAATATTGAGCCTCGGTTCAAGAATTAGAGCAAGCTTTGCTTATTTAACATCGATTTTAGAATTCCATGTGTTAAATATTTAAATTAAGATATTTCTGTGAGCGCTTTTTTTTCTCCCAAGTAGTTTGATTTCTCTTATCTTGTGAGAATCATTTATCAGTTGCATGTCCAAAACAAGAGAAAAGAAACTCCGCTGCCATTGTTACATGCAACTCTTAAAAAGGCAGAAAACTCGATTTGTAGAATGTTTACCCCATTGTTCTGTGATGATGATTTGCTGTCGGTGTTTAATAAACGTCGACGAGCAGTTAAAGTATTTCCTCTTTGCTATCAGTTGCACCAGCATAACTCAAATGAAGTCATGGAAGCAGAAAGAAAATCGACCTTTTTTCGGCTTTTATAATTTTGCATTCGGTTTCCTGTCATAAGTTTTAGAATTACGCCCAGGTGTGAGGTTAAAATACGCCCAGGTGTGAGGTTCAAAACAGTTTGCGTACAGAAGTGATTGTCAGTGAGCAAATGAAGCTGTTAGCATATCAGAGTCATTTCTGAATTAGATACTTATGGCATTTGCATTGAATTATGTGCGATAAGTGCCACCTAGCAGTTAGGAATGCACACACAAATACATACACAAACACACACACACACACACGTGCCCGCGCGTACACAGAGAGGTACGAACACATATAAGTATACATACGTCCGAATTCAGATCCTGATTCATTTTGAGCTTGGAGGTCATCCTCTTCTGCATGGATGCTTAAGATGACTATTTTGTTTTGAAGTAACAAAAGAAAGTATCAGAAATCTCCGTGACCAATCTCAAATTTCTCAGAGATAGATAGATAGATAGATAGATAGATAGATAGATAGATAGATGGACAGATAGATAGATAGATAGATAGATAGATAGATAGATAGATAGATACAAACAGACAGAGATAGATAGATAGATAGATAGATAGATAGATAGATAGATAGATAGTGAGAGAGAGAGACAGACAGACAGACAGATAGATAGATAGTGACAGACAGACAGACAGACAGACAGATAGATAGATAGATAGATAGATAGATATGAGGAGATACATTTTTAAATTCTTTTTTAATATATATATATATATATATATATATATAGAGAGAGAGAGAGAGAGAGAGAGAAAGAGACGGTGGTGCAAGGGAAAGCTTGGACAGATAGAGGGAGAGAAAGAGAGTAAGAGAGGTAGATCGAGGAAACTTAGATAGATAGATAGATAGATAGTGAGAGAGAGAGAGAGAGACAGACAGATAGATAGATAGTGAAAGACAGACAGACAGACAGACAGAGAGATAGATAGATAGATAGATAGATAGATAGATAGATAGATATGAGGAGAGACATTTTTAAATTCTTTTTTAATATATATATATATATATATATAGAGAGAGAGAGAGAGAGAGAGAGAGAGAAAGAGAGAGAGAGAAAGAGAGAGAGAGAAAGAGAAAGAGACGGGGTGCAAGGGAAATCTTGGACAGGTAGAGGGAGAGAAAGAGAGAGTAAGAGAGGTAGATCGAGGAAACTTAGATAGATAGATAGATAGATAGATAGATAGATAGATAGATAGATAGATTGTTGTCAACAGAACTCTCTGGACTGTTATTCCAGTAAATAAATCTATTTCCCTCTAATTTCAAGGCACATATCAAAATGATGCAGTGTTGTTTCCACCTCGCAATAAATAAAAGTTTTGTTAGAGAGGCTGCGGATTCTTTGCGGCCCTCGTGGATATGTTCACGACTTTTTTTTTTACCTAGCTTTTTTTGGCGCCTTGTTTATTTCTTCATCTTCATGAACCAACACTCAACACTCAACTTGAAACTCGAGTGCAACTCAATAATCTGTCTTCAGTCGAAAGAATGTTCGTCAAAATTTTGACGAGTCTTTTCTAGCATTTTGGTTTCAGATTTGTTGTCATCTTCACCTTCGTTGCCATATTCAGAACGTTTCGGCCGTTTGCACCGGTTTTCTTCAGGTGATTGAAATTTCGAACCGGACCCTTTATTTCGTCCACCGGGGTAGATTGTTGTAGTTCCACGTGCCATGCCTCTTCCTGATGTCTCAGTGATTTCCCTACCCCGGTGGACGAAATAAAGGGTTCGGTTCTAAATACCAATCATCTGAAGAAGGCAGGAGCGGGAAACGCTGTGAATATGGCAATAAAGATGAGGATAACAGTCAGAATAATGTTAATAATGCAAGTAAACCGTTTCAGGTTTAATTTGTTAGTTTTTGAAGCTGTGTTTTGTTAAATTAAGTGGAAACAAAAAAATCCCATCCTTCGCTGGCAAATGATTAGAAAACAAATGTATTTCTAATAATAATAATAATAATAATAATAATAATAGGAAGACAAACATTGTTGGATCACCGCTATAGCGATACAAGGGGACGTAATTGTAAATGAAAAAGAAAAGTGAATGGAGGAGAAAAGCGAAGCTATCAAGAAACGTAAAAATGTGAGTGAATACCCTAGTGGGAGTTTAACAAAGTAGACATTGTTCCCGTAATTGTGGGTTCCAGTTGAAAAGTGACGGACGAAATCCAAAAATGGCTGGGTAAAATTGGCATTGTGAATCGAACTGAATTATTTCAGAAACGAGCACTGCTTGGAACAGCGAGAATTCTGAGAATATTCTCTTTTTTTTTTTTTTGAGAGTTGAAGGAATGACCAGACCCCATTGTCATTCGTTATTATACGCTCTTGATGGTTAAATCACAGCATTGCGTCTGCTTGAGATAGCGAACAACAACAACAATAAATAATAATAATAATAATAATAATAATAATAATAATAATCTGGTAGCCCATGCTCTAGAGAAATAAAAATATTGTACAGCCCACACCTTACGAAGGGCTTTAAAATATGTGTTATTTATTTATTTATTTTGAATACAGCTCAGTGGAAAATGTCCTGATGACATTTCTAACCTTAGGTCTCTGGTTGGGACCCGGAAAGAAATGAGTATACACCAGAAAACAAAGGAAATAAAACAACAACAACAACAACAATAATAATAATAATGATGATAATAATTGTAACTGTAATAGTAGATGTGGTGGTGCTTGTGGTGGTGATAGTAAAAGCAATAAAAGAGTTGAAAAATAGTATGCGCATATAGAGAGGGCTGCAAAAGTAGGTATACAGTAAGTATTATACCATTATTACCAGTCTAATAATAATAGTGGTTCACGGATTCATTTAATATTAGAATTCATTTAATTCATTAAAATCATTTTTAATATTTTTATTTCCATCATTTTTATTAAAATACATTTATTATAATTTTTATTTTTAATAAATAAGAATGATAAATGTTTTGGTCAAGAGGAGTGTGAATAAGAGGGGGCAAACAATTTGAATATTTGATGGATCGATATATTTATTATTGAGATGTTTGTATAATCAATGCAACATTTTGTGCACACGTTTTGTTTTTTCCTACTGTACACATACTTTCGCATCTTATATATATATATATATATATATATATATATATTTAGGCTGCATATTTTCATTCAAGTAGGTTTGTTTAAATAATTTAAACGTATTCTATTTATTTTACTTTTAATCCTTTCAAGTCCACGAATTAATTTCTTGCTGGCTGTAGAAAATTGATTAAGAAAGTATACTACATACAGTGCGTCTAAAAGGTAAGTCTAAAAAGTATTATACCAGTATTAGCGAATTATACCAGTATTAGCGAATTATACCAGTATTAGCGAATTATACCAGTATTAGCGATATTATAATAGTGGTCCTCGGATTCATTTAATACCAGAATTCATTTTATAGTTTTTATTTCCATAATTTTTATTATAATACATTTAATATAATTTTTATTTTTTTATAAATAATAGCAATAAATGTTTTGCTTGTAAAGATGATTGTGTGAATGACGGGGGCAAACAATTTGAACATTTCAGGGATCGATATAATCAATACATTAAATTTTGTGCGCCCGTTTTGTCTTTTCATTACTGTATACCTACTTTTGCAACCCCCTGTATTCATTAGTATGATAAATACACCATGTGAATTTCAGGTTTCATAATATCTGTTTTTAATTCTTAAATTTATAATAACTTATTTGATGGCGTAGATTTTATGATGTAAATCGAGGGCTAGAAATTATATTGTAAATAAATATGTATATTGCAAATTTTATTGTAAATTGAGGAACCAATATGTTTATGATTGAGATGTTTTTATAATCAATACATTACGTTTTGTGTGTCCGTCTTGTTATTGATTACTGTATACCTACTTTTGCATCCCCCACTGTAGATTCGTTTTGGAATTCTTCCATTTCATTAAAAACCATTGTCTTTACTTTAAGGCGCGTAGATCCTCAATCATGGCCTTAATCTGAGTTTGAAAAGCGAATTGTCTCTTTTTAACTCGTAAATAACTTGAAGAAAGAAAAATATCGAAGCTCCGTCAATAGCACCATTTCGTTTCAAGAATGGTTGTTAAGAAAAAAAAAAAAAAGGAGATTTTCTATCCTGAATTGAAATGGTGAACAAACATCATCGCCCCGGTTTTAGAAGTAGGACCTCAACACCTGTGACCTCTAGTCCTACACTCTACCATAGCGTTATAACTCGCAGGTGCGTCATCAATATTAACTTTTTCCGGAATATCGCTAAGGTTGATCATCAGGAAACTGGTTAACGATTTTACGATTTTAGCAATTGACCTTTGACCAGCGGTTCGATTTTATTATTTTGAATGACTATATTTTATGGTTCAACTGTCAAATCGTGAATACAACTGAAAATAGGCGTTAATAATGCAAATAAAAAGATTTTAAGGGTAAAAAAATGATTTTCTCTGCTGGGCCCCAAATTTTCCTAAACGCTTATCTATGAATAATAATTAAAAAGAAAAGTAAAAGAAGGAAGAAAAGGGGGAAAAGAGATGGAAAAGGTTTTTTTTTTAGAGTTTGTCTATATTTCTGAGATGAGGTATTATGTACAGTATTTACATTAGTCGGACTATTGTCCTCATCTTTGTCGCCATATTTGTCACAACGTTTCGGCCGTTGTACGCTCCGGCCTTCTTCAGGTGGTTGGAATTTCGAACTGAACCCTTTATTTCGATCGCTGGGGTAGACTGTTCTAATTCCACGCCATGTCCTGATGGACACATGGCACAGTGGATAAAGGCGTTGGTTAGATCCAGTGACAGACCCAAAGAAGGTGAGTTCAATTCCTGTTAAGGCAGTGGAGAACTTTCAGAGGGAAAATTAGCAGGAGATAACTGATGCAACATCAAACATGGCACGTGGAATTAGAAACAGTCTACCCCAGCGATCGAAATAAAGGTTCAGTTCGAAATTCCAACCACCTGAAGAAGGCCGGAGCGTACAACGGCCGAAACGTTGTGACAAATATGGCGACAAAGATGAGGACAATAGTCCGACTAATGTAAATACTGTTTTTTTTTTTAGTTTAGCTTTTCTGAAAATTATCAGGAGGAGGAGAATAAAGGATGAATAACAATAAAAACTTAATGAGCGTAAAAAGTCATGTGAAATGTTTCCAATGAACTTATCCAGAAAGAAAAAAAAAAAAAGAATTGGAATTTCGAACTGAACACTTTATTTCGTTCACGGGATTAGATTGTTCTAATTCCAATCAGCTGAAGAAGGCCGGAGCGAACAACGGCCGAAACGTTTTGAATATGGCAATAAAGATGAGGGCAAGAATTCATACAATGTAAATACGGTAAATAATTACAATACCTCATCTCAGAAATAGAGACAGATAAAAAGTAGTAGTAAAAGTGAAGATAATGAAAAAAAGAAAAGAAATGAGACATTAGAGAAGATGAGAATAAGATAGAAGAGAGGGGGTGTTAAAAGAAGAAGAAGAAGAAGAAGAAGAAGAAGAAGAAGAAGAAGAAGAACGAAGGGAAGAGGAGGAGGAGGAGGAAACAGTAAAAAGAGAAGAAAAAGAACAAAAAATTCATAAAAATACAAGAGGAAGATGATAAGGATGAAAGAGGAGGAGGAGGGAGGTGTAGGAAAGGAGGGGACGGGGGTGGAGGACTGAAATGAATGAAATGTGTGAGAGGGACAAAGCGAAAGAGAAAGAAAAAGGTTTGAATAAGCACAAAGGGAACGAGAAGAATGAAAAAGAAAAAGAATATATATATATGTGTGTGTGTGTGTGTGTGTGTGTGTGTGTGTGTGTGTGTGTGTGTGTGTGTGTGTGTGTGTGTGAGTGTAAGTTGGGGCTGTGCCATTTTGTAAAGACTTCCTTGATCGACTTGGGTCTTTTTAAACTTTAAAAGATTCGGTAACGTTCAACCGAACGTAATTTCTTCCATGGACTTTATACAAGATTTTTTTTTACGCTTGCTTGAATAAATATTTTATATGAAGATAGAGAAAATCTTGGAGGTTACATGGATTTTTTTTCTGCATGAAAAAAAAAAAGACTTGCTTAGATTCAATGACTTCAGCTGCAGCAACAATTATATAAAAATGAATAAATTTGAATGTCAATTGGTAAAGACTTCAATCAATCGTTGGGTGAATGATTTTGAATCACTGAGCAGGCATCTAGATTTCGAGCTAATTAATTTCTTTAACTATTTACAAAAATATTATAGGTAGAAGTAAAACAATATTAATTCGTTTATTTATCAAATTAAGAAAAGACAGTTTTTGAAGTCTTCTGTTGTTTTTTTTTTTAAGAATTATAAAAGTTCATCTGCCATTTTCAATATTAGACAACAAATGAATGTTGTTATGACAGTAATCACAATAAATCAAAAGCGATCTTTTGAATGAATTTACTTAAAACTAAACACTCCTAGTACTATCTAACATCAAAACTAATGAAATTTTAGGCGACCCAATATAAAACAAAATTCGGATGGCATCTGATTTATTCAAAAGCTAGTGCATTAGATTCTAAACATTCAATTATAAGAAAATAATAAACTTCAACTTCGCCTATATCTTATCTTGGTTTTTAACTTGTTTAACTTTTTGTTTACTAAATATATATTTGCGTATTTAATCTGATTACATTTATTATCCTAATACGAAGATATTTTAGAAAACGAAGCTTTGTTTTAGCGTACTGTTTTAACGTTTCTCCAGAAAAAAAAATCAGGCAAATATTGGTCTTATATTAAAGAGTATATGTTTTATTACTTAAACGTTACTTTATAGCGGATCAACCATTTTTGAGTAGAGGCTCCAGCATTTTTCTTTAATTTCTCGAATGTTTCTCGGCCGGAAGAAGAAATAAAATAGTGTTTAAGAAACAAACGGAGCGTCGACTCAGATATGTGTGTATCGATTAAAAATAATGTTTAAGTGATAATAAAAAAAAGATCGTAAATGCACAAATAATTTCAAAGGATTTTGTGCATATAAATAAAAATATATATAAATTGGTGAATGATATATCAACATTTTACAAAAGATATTTTAATGTAAAAATAGAATAAAATCATTTTTACAAAGTCCGTCTAAGAGTTTTCCTGAAAAGCACAGACGATGAAGAAACGATTTGTACAAATAGAATAAAGTAGAATTTATAGAAATACACCGATGTATCTGTCTATATTTCTGAGATGAGGTATTATGTACACTATTTACATTATTCGGACTATTGTCCTCATCTTTGTCGCCATATTTATTACAACGTTTCGGCCTTTCATTATCTGTCTATATTTCTGAGATGAGGTATTATGTACACTATTTACATTATTCGACTATTGTCCTCATCTTTGTCGCCATATTTATTACAACGTTTCGGCCTTTCATTATCTGTCTATATTTCTGAGATGAGGTATTATGTACACTATTTACATTATTCGGACTATTGTCCTCATCTTTGTCGACATATTTATTACAACGTTTCGGCCTTTCAGTATCTGTCTATATTTCTGAGATGAGTTATTATGTACACTATTTACATTATTCGGACTATTGTCCTCATCTTTGTCGCCATATTTATTACAACGTTTCGGCCTTTCAGTATCTGTCTATATTTCTGAGATGAGGTATTATGTACACTATTTACATTATTCGGACTATTGTCCTCATCTTTGTCGACATATTTATTACAACGTTTCGGCCTTTCAGTATCTGTCCATATTTCTGAGATGAGGTATTATGTACACTATTTACATTATTCGGACTATTGTCCTCATCTTTGTCGCCATATTTATTACAACGTTTCGGCCTTTCAGTATCTGTCTATATTTCTGAGATGAGGTATTATGTACACTATTTACATTATTCGGACTATTGTCCTCATCTTTGTCGCCATACTTATTAAAACGTTTCAGTCGTTGTACGCTCGGCCTTCTTCAGGTGGTTGGAATGTCGACCGCCTCTGAACCCCTCTATTTCGCTCATTGTGGTAGACTGTTCTAGTTCCTCGTTCCACGTGTCTAATGTATGTCAGTTATCAGTTATCTCCTGCTAATTCCCTCTCCAAGTTCTCCACTGCCTTAACCGGGTATCCTGTCGCTGGATCTAACTAACGCCTTTATCCACTGTGCCATGTGTCCTCAATACCCGGTTAAGGCAGTGGAGAACTTGGAGAGGGAAATTAACAGGAGATAATTGACAATTGACATCCATTAAAACATGACATCGTCAAAGATGAGGGCAATAGTCCGAATAATGTAAATAGTGTACACCGATCTATATTTCAAATGAATAATCATTTCTAGAAAAGAAATTGATTATATGTAAGGGACCTTATAAACCTGAGTATACGTAAGAGACATTATATACCAAATTATATTTAAGAGACATTATATACCTGATTATACGTAAGAGACCTTATATACCTGATTATATGTAAGAGATCTTATATACATTATTATACGTAAGAAACCTTATATACCTTATTATAAGTAAGAGACCTTATATACCTGATTATATGTAAGAGACCTTTTATACCTGATTATATGTAAGAGATCTTATATACCTTATACGTAAGAAACCTTATATCCCTGATTATACGTAAGAGACCTTATGTACCTCATTATATGTAAGAGACCTTATATACCTGATTATACGTAAGAGACCTTATATACCTGATTATATGTAAGAGATCTTATATACCTGATTATACATAAGGGCCATTATATACCTGATTATACGTAAGAGACCTTATATACTTGATTATACGTAAGAGACTTTACCAAAATGACTTGGGATTTCTGTAGACAAATTGCAAGATGAGCAATCTTATAGAAAAAAAACGAAAAAGAAATAGAAAAAAAAAAGAGGTAAGAAAAAGACGAAGGAATACAGGGAAGGAAAGTGGAATGTGTAGAGGAGGATGAAGATGCTAAGAAGAAGAAGAAGAAGAAGAAGAAGAAGAAGAAGAAGAAGAAGAAAGAAAGAAAGAAAGAAAAATGTAAGAGAATATGAAGAAGGGTTAGAGGAAGAAGAAAAAAGGAACAGAAGAAAAAAAAAAAAGAGAAGCAGAAGGAAATGATAAAGGAGACGAAAAGAAATAAAAGCCAAGACAATAATGTAGCAGCCCAAGGGTGGGGTTAGGGGGGCGTTGGCTTTCAAATCAAAATAGCCTAACAGATTTTCAAGGACTTTTTCAAATAAAAAAGGTCGTCAACCTCGACAGAGAAACTCTAAATGTCAGCCATGTTTATATTTGTACCGATCTTAGGCCCAGCGATTTCTCCACAGGTGTGCGGCTTTTATTGACTTCTAAAAGGAACACGACTTGTTCCAGTCCGGACATGTCCCCATGGGGTCATATTAGCACAGGCATTTTGACATTTGATGTCTGTTGCGTGCAGTGGGGAGGGCATATATCAAACTCAGAATCATATGTTGAACGCCATTTATTACTTTTAACGTACCTTATCCAGTCATCTCGTAATCCACCATCAGCCAAATGTTTGTAGTGTGAGTTTCAAAGGTTTAAAGGTTGACATGGTTGCGAGTCGCCCCACTGTCTTGTGTAAGAGGCTTTGATGTCCGAGTTAAAGAAGTTTTGTGTCGCTGCCAAATCAGAAATGAAATACTTTGTGTGCTTCATCGAATGTTGACCATCACATATATTATTATATAGATAGATAGATAGATAGATAGATAGATAGATAGATAGATAGATATGAACAGACTGAGATAGAAACAGACTGAGATAGATAGATAGATAGATAGATAGATAGATAGATAGATAGATAGATAGATAGATATGAACAGACTGAGATAGAAACAGACTGAGATAGATAGATAGATATGAATAGACTGAGATAGAAACAGACTGAGATAGAAACAGACTGAGATAGATAGATAGATAGATAGATAGATAGATAGATAGATAGATAGATGTGAACAGATTAAGATAGACAGATGTTTTCCTTTTTCTTTTTATAACTGGGGTAGAAGATCATGGCTCGTTACAGCTTCCTTTTCTTTATTATCTGTGAAGTGCCATAACTACGTGAGAAGGTTTTTTGTTAATCGATTTATGTTTATGGCTTCTGAACATTTTGCAGGTCATTTAAAGCCAGATAATATATTTTATATAGATTGTAATATATTTTGGGCTGGAAGATAAGAATTGTTTACTCATACAAGTCTTACTAATTAATCCATAGATGTAGGGTGAGAAGATGGGGGATTCTCCAAGCGTATTTGTGCGTAAGTGAATATAAAGAATCCGACTGGAATTAGAACTTGACTCTCCGATTTCTAATTGCCAGCCGTTATTCATTACACCACCCACACAACCAAGCTTACAGCATCTGGTATTCCCAAGCGATCACCCATAAAGGTACTGACCGGGCTCAATGTTGCTTAACTTCGGTGATCTTACGAAAACTAGTGTTTAAACGTGATATGGCTGAGAGCTTCCCACTCCACTGGGAAAGATAGTGGAAAAGTTTCCTGCTCCCTTCTCTCTGTTCTTGAATTCGCACTTGTCCTTTTAGACTAACTCTTACTCTGGGCTAGAGGGTTCAGTCTAACCCGCTATTTAACCCATAGTTGGTGGGTAAGAGTATATAGATTCGGGCTTTCCCTAAGTGAACTTCTGCGAAAGTAAACGCAAATTGAACTCGACACGTCGATTGCACTTTCCTTTGCCGAAAATAATTAAGTTATGGCCAAATTCTATGGTTATTTAAATATATTTCTTTGTAATTTTAAAGGCCATTTCAAATTAAGAAAATGTTTCAATATACTCAAAGAATCTTCATTTCATTTCTGGGGAAGAGAACACTAAGAATATGGAAGTGTTCCGGGGAAGAAAGCAAAAGGAATTAATATTCGGAGAGATGGTCGCATATAAAATGTAAAACGCCTAAAATTTCAGAATTCTAAAGGAAATTGATCAAAATCTTAACGAATAAAACAAATAAGAAATCATTTTCATTTATAAATGAAACAAAAATTTAATAAAAGTATTTTTATTTATTTATTTACCTCCTTCTGTATTTTTGCATCCATTTCCCTGTTCTTTCTTTCTTTCTTTCTTGCACTCCTCTAGTCTTTCTTTTTTCTTTCTTTCTTTCTTTCTTTCTTTCTTTCTTTCTTTCTTTCTTGTACTCTTCCATTCTCTTTTTCCTTCTTTTTCGTTCCTTCCTTCTTTCTGTCTTACCTCTTCTATTTTCTTTCTTTCTTTCTTTCTTGCACCGTTCTCGTCTTTCTTTCTTTCTTTCTTTCTTTCTTTCTTTCTTTCTTTCTTTCTTTCTTTCCTTCTGCCTTGTACTCTTCTATTCTTACTTTCCTTCTTTTTCGTTCCTTCTTTCTTTTTTCCTTTTTTCTTTCTTTACTTCTTTCTTTCTTTCTCGTACTATTCTATTCTTTCTTTCTTTCTTTCTTTCTTTTTTGCACCGTTCTCGTGTTTCTTTTTCTTTCTTTCTTTCTTTCTTTCTTTCTTTCTTTCTTTCTTTCTTTCTTCCTTGTACTCTTCTATTCTTTCTTCCCTTCTTTTTCGTTCCTTCTTTCTTTTTTCCTTTTTTCTTTCTTTACTTCTTTCTTTCTTTCTTTCTCGCACTCTTCTATTCTTTCTTTTCTTCTTTCTTTCCTTCTTTTTTTCTTTCTTTCTTTCTTTCTTTCTTTCTTTCTTTCTTTCTGTCTTGCCCTCTTCTATTGTTTGTTTGTTTGTTTGTTTGTTTCTTTCTTTCTTTCTTTCTTTCTTTCTTTCTTTCTTCTATTCTTTCTCTCTTTCTTGCACTCTTCTTTCTATCTTTTTTCTTTGTCTTGCACTCTCTTATTCTTTCTGTCACACTTCTATTCTTTCATTCTCTCTTTTTTCTATTCTTTCTTTCACTTTTCTCTTTTTTCTTTCTTTCTTTTTTCTTACAATCTCCGTTCACTTATTGATTACAGAAAGAAGCGGAAACGAAACGTGCCCTCAGTGTAAACAAATTCCGCCATGAAATCTTCCCATGCAAGGCGCCATCTGCCCGCGTTTTGTTTATCATCCAAACGCCTTGTTCTGTTCGTTGCTCGTCACTTTATGATTGCAAAGATAACAATCGCGAAGCTTTCCACTAAAATGGCTACGCGTCACTTTATGACAAAACTTCAAGAAATTCCGAACCAAAAGCGTCATCCTCTTCGAGGTAAAAACATTTTTTTCCTCGCCAGGTAAATCGTACTACTGCGTATATCGTTTTATAGGACAGGACAGGTAGACATATTTCATTTACTGGCACCGTTCTTTCAGGTGGAATCAGTACCTATTTATTGGACTGGACTGATTTAGTTACAAGGCTTCCTTTGTGGAGCACTGATTAGGAACCAGTTTATTAGTACTTTTTAGACGAAACCTATGCTGTGTATTTAGAGATTTTAAATAAAAATGCAAAGGAGAATTTGCAATATTATTGGTCTTGACCTGTCATACGACCTTCAGTCACTTTCTCACCGCCGTAATGTAACTTATTTGTATCTTTTTTATAAATACTTTCATGGTATTGTTCTGATGAACTTCCCACTATGGTAACTAAGACTTGACGAATTTAAGCTTTGTATTAGATTGGCGGTAAGTTTTTCATCATTTTACAGCTGAAGTGGCTAGATGTAACCGTAAGTTCTATGCTAACAGTTTCTTCTCTCGCACTTCTTGCTTGTGAAACTCTCTTCCGGCTTTTTGTATCCCACTCAATTTTGATCTCAAAAATTTAAATGCAATATCAATCGTTATTTGTCTTCTTAATTCCTATTCTTTTAATGTTCTCTCTCCTTAGTGTATTTTTCTCATATTCTCTCACACTCAGTAACCCCTTGCATCTTAGTGGCTTTATTATCTTTTTTGAAGTGACTTGATTAAACAAAATTATCAAATGTTTGCTTTCTATATATTACTTCAAATTAATCTTCAGGAATATTTTTTTTTTTTTAGAGAAAACCAATTCTAATTTATATTGTTTTAGTGGGCCTCATTAAAAACTCTTTAAACTGTTTCTGTCTATTTTTAAGGAAGAATCTACTTTTATCGAAGTACCATCAATGAGATGTAACGTTTATTTTATATAGCAAAGGGTCTTATTAAAACTGTTTTAACTGATTCTATTCAATACTTATTTATTAGGTTGACTAGAAAGTCCCGATTCACTTAGAAAGCGGAAAGAAAGCAACAAAATTTTATCGAACAACACCAAGATTTATTCTTCAAAATAAATCTTCTGACAGTTAACCTAATGTTACTGTTACTCCATAAAATTTAGTTGTTTTCATTCCGTTAAGTGAGTTAGGGACTTTCTGGCCAAACTACTAATTTTTAAGATGACGTGTATTTTTATTCCTTTCTTTTTAACAAAGTATCATCAATGAAGAATAAATTTAATTCTATTAGGTTGGGTCGTAAGTAATTTCTGTTTTGCGGAACCAATTCTAATGACGAATATATTATTCTACTCATAAATGGCAGTTAAGAATAAATTTGGACTAAAATAACATAGTTTAGTTTTCACATGACAGTGGCAGCATACACAGCGGATGAAAGGAAAAGGTTGTTGTTCTTTGTGGCAACGCAAGGTAAACAATTCTAGGACTAGGTTAGTTTTTTTTTCTGCATAACGCGCTATATTCACTTGACTTTACACCGACAGGTTATTTACCATTATCGATACCCGCAAAACTCTTTCACAGGGAAAACTCTCTGCTGAAAACCAGATCCAGAACCTATAAAATTTTACTCAAAAGTTATTGAATAGGAAAGCGACTCGTTGCACCTTCTTGGGTTACCATTCTCGGCTGGCATCAAGTGAAAAGTCTCTATTGAATCCATTGCTAGGTCAGCTGCTAAGAAAGTTCTTTCAGTGTGTTCTGCGAGATAATTTTTCTCTCCAGAATCTATCTTACATAACTATAAGTCTACCATTCGTCCCTGGTTAGAATATTGCTGCCACATATGGTCCAGTGTCCTTGCTATTTATTTAGAGATTCTTTATAAAATTCAAAAAATCAGCAATATTATCGGTCCTTATCTGGCGGCACGGCTTCAATCCCTTTCCCCTCCGCCATAAGGTTGCCTCTCTGTGTCTTTTCTATAAATACATTTATGGTAATTGTTCGGATGAGATTTTCACTATAGAACTTGGACTTTTTGAATTTAAGCGCAATACTCGACTGACGGCGAGGTTTTATCAATTTACAATTGAGCTGCTTAGATGTAATCGTAAATTCTATGCTAACAGTTTCTTTTCTCGTAACTCTCGCTTGTGGAACTCTCTTCCGGCTCCATGCTTTCCAGCCAACTTTAATCTACATAAATTGTCAATGTCAATCGCTATCTGCTGTCCTGATTACTCTTTCCTCTTCCCACTCATTATTAATGTTTCTGTTACTAATTCTTCTACACCCTGTAAGCCCCTAGTGTCTTAGTGGCTTTATTGCCTTGCATAGAGTGATACCGATAAAAAGATCTTTAGTGCACCATCAATCCAGAAAACCTTCAAAATTATTATAACAAGCACAGTCCATATTTGAAGAAGTCCGGTGCGCATAACGGCCGAAACGCTGTGAATATGGCAATGAAGATGAGGATCGTCGTCGTCGTCGGCATCCGTCCGTCTCGAGAGACGATAGAGTAGCGCGGTGTGCTATGAGCCTGGGCGGGATATATGGAGAACTAGGGCTGCCCGGACGTCTAGTCCCCCCCCTCTCGGCCTTGCTAGCAGAGTCCAAAGGAGAGGATAAACCAATACAGTTTGGTACCAGCGCGGCTGCAGGAGTTGCTGGAAGGTAGCACAAAGTGCCGTCCACCCACCTTAGGGGCTCCACTCCGGGTTTGAATTCAGAGTTGTCCTTCTCCTAGACCAGTTGCCATCCAAGGCTATAGAACCCAGTTGGTCCTGCTATTTACCCTTAGCTGGAGGGAGAAGAAAAGGATTCACACCTTTTTCAAGAGTATTAGCACGTAAGTGAATGTAATGGATTCCACTGGAATTCGAACTCGGCTCTTCGATTCCTCAATCCAAACCGCTATCCATGACTTCACCGTGCCTCCTATAAGATGAAGATAACTTTCCGAATAATGTAAATAATGCAAGTAATCATAATACCTCATCTCAGAGATATAGACAGATAAAACTCTTCTTGTTTGGAGCTTTGGGCCTGATAAAGAAAGGAACTCAAGAACACATCAACAAGATCCAATCAATCCAGAAAACATCCAAAATAATTATAACAAGCACAACCCATATTTGAAGAAGGCTGGAACGCATAACGGCCGAAACGTTGTGAATATGGCAATGAAGATGAGGATAAAAGTCCGAATAATGTAAGTAAGCTGAAGATGACGATTATGGTCATCATCATTGGCGTACTTTGAAGAGTCTTGTAGATCCATGTAATGAGGTTGGAAAAAATGGAAAACCGAGCAAGAATAGAAA